TGGTAAAACACTGGCAGGATAGGCTCTTTTGATGGAGACTGTGTTGAAGCAGGGCCTCAAACCAGCATATATTCCTGGTATACCACGTGTGACAAGGAAGCCAAGAGCAGAGGGACTGTAAGGAACCACTGCTGGAACAACACAGAGATCTGGTACTCAGATTATGTTGGAGATAAGATAACTTTTATGTTGGGAGAGAGGGGAGCTGTGCTAGTAATGACAGATGGAAATTCCCAATAGTGTGATTGGCTGGAGCCCTGGGTCCAGATTAATTGATTTAAAGAAAGTCGTATTTCCTGCATGCACATATTGAAGATTTATACCCATTGCACTGAGTTTGACCTTGAGTATTTGGAGCTCTCAGAGTAGCTGGGTGGGATGCAGTACCCAAATCAGAAGGATGAGAAAGCCCAGGTATGATTCCACTGACGCAAGGTTGCCCTCCCCTTGGAGGGTTGGTGGTGGTCTAGCAACAAGGAATGTTTTTGGTTTTGGTTTGTTTTTTGGTAGAATGTTGCTATTATGGGTCAAAAGCCATGTGCCTGAGGAAAGGTTTCCAGGTCAGAGATTTCAATGTGTGTTCAGGCCCAACACCACCCAAATTGGCCTAAATCAGCAAGTGGGGCAAGTCAGGAAAAGAAGAGAGTTTCTTCTTTATTTCCATAGTCTCACTTTGGAGTCGTGGCTTTGGGGAAGGGAGCGTGAGTTTAAAACAATTATTCCCAAGAAGGCACACATGGGGCACCTCTTGGCTTACCATGACCGTTGTGGCAGGAGGAAACGCTGAAGAGGCTAAGCATAGATAACTGTTTAATTACCCTTACTCTACTGGTGTGGTTTGGGGATTATCTGGGGATTAAATTTGGGCTGATTTCTTTACTCATTATCATGACAAATGGATTGTTTTGTCATTTAGAAAAAAGAATTTGCGAGGAATAAGCAAACAGAGTTTTTAGATAGCAAAGAGGTAGGAAACTCTAAACTCTTTATCCAGGATCTTAGTAAGGTCAAAAACAAAAAACAAAGTTTTTATGGTATCAAGTTAAAAACTCTTTAATATCTCAAAATATCAACCTGAATTATGTCCAATATCAATTTGGTGGCTATATTCAACACATATTAAGAACCTACTGTGTACCAGGCATAGTTTTAAGTGCTAGTGATACATTGGTAAGCAAAGATCTTGCTCTCATGGAGCTGTGCTCTGGTGGGAGAGACAGACAACAGAAACAGATGTGTATATCAATCTGTGAGAAGTGTTATAAAGAAAATTGAGCAGGGTTATGAGGATAAAGCATCAGGGTTGGGGATACCTCACACAGGACGGTTAGCAACGGCTCTGCAGCTCCAGGCCCTGGCTACCCTCCCTCTCGCTTTCCCTACATTTCCCGGGATGTCTCAAGCTCATTTATGCCTCAAGGTCTTTGCAAATCTTTCCTGTCTGGATCCCCTTCCTCTTCCTAACAACTTTTTCCCTAGTTACCTCTTACAATCCTTCAGAAATCAGCCACAAATCACTTTCTCAAAGCCTGAAGGAAGCCTTCCTTGGCTCTCCGGAATAGATCAAATTCAGGTTCCTGCTTATTCACCACACTGAGCTTCTCATTGTACTGACCACATTTATAATTATATGAGTATTGAATTGTGCAATGCCTTTGTCCCCTCTAGACTGTAAGTTCCATGAAAGCAAACACTGTCTCATTTACTTATTGTTGAGTCCTTAAAACCTTGTAGTTTGCAGAATAGGTAACCAATAAATAACTGTTGAATGTTTAAATTATAATTTTCAATATCTTAGAATATTAAGTATGGAAGGCCCCTTCCAAAGCTTATTTAGAAAATACCATGCTTAATTTTATAGGCCATCTAGGTAATTTTGGTAATTTTGAATGTAGCAAAATTACTCAAGTTGGCTTCATTTGGTTATGAATATCAATACTAACTTATGATGTCACTATTCTCCTTTCATTTCAGCCACGTTCATTATCCTTGGAAATGTGCTGATTGAACTATAATTTAAAATGAATAATCTTTTATTTGTAAAAGATTGAGTCATAAATAGGCAGAATCAACCCATGCTTTTATTTTCATTGCATATAAAAATTTCATATGAAGGTATTGATGTACAGTACTATCCCCGTGGGCTGTAAGAGAGGCTAAGAAACCACTAAAAGAATCATCATTTGTAATTCTCACACACAATTTACCACTCTGAAAACATATCCAAAGAAATAAAAACAACTCAATCAGTTAAGGATATTTTTGTAATTATAGTGTCCCCTTTGTACTGTTTAAAACAAAAGTAATCAAATTCCTTTGGGCCAGGGCTGCTAAAATCTACAGTTTGTGTCAAAAAATAAAATAAAATAAAAGGCTCATTTTTCCTAGAAAAAGAATCTTTCCTTTTATCGAAAAGCCACATGATTGAAGGGCTGGGCAAGCAGTGGGAGGATGCTTCCATATTATCCATTATAATAAATTTTTCCTGCTTTCAGGGGCTGGCCATTGTACAAGGTTAAATATTAAAATTCTAAAGCAGTGCAAGTTGTGCTGAAACAAATCTTAGAGGATGGTGAATGCTTTATGCTATGTAAACTGGCATCAGACACAACTTTGTGTTTAAATAGATGGGTTTACATATATATAAGGAAATTTGGTTTATCTTAGTGGAAGAAAATTTAAGGTTGAAAAATTGTATTTTCTTTTTAGTATATTCTCTTAACATGTCAGGAAGCTGATGAATAGATAACTAACCAACATGAGTAAGCTCTGGCTCAAATTTCAAATCGAGTTCATTTTCCTATGAGCTCTAGAAGCCAAAAAGACTTTTAAAAAAAAGATTGTTTATAATCACTGAGAAAGAATATATTTCCCAAGTTGTGTTTCTGAGTTTAAAAAAAAAAAAAAAGGAAATAATCCAATGCAAGTAGCTAAAGTAGCTCCTGATCAACAGGCGGCAAACAAGCATCACACATGCGGTGCCACTCCCTGGCAAGAAGGACTTCAGAGGTTATGTCTCAAAAGGGTCTCAGAATCTTTCAGAGGTTGTCTGTGGTTTTGTAAAATCCAGCTATTGGCAGAATTCTAATCAATTAAAAGCCTGGATGTAAAATGCCCAGCCCTAGCTCCACCGTTACCTTTCAAATGCAGCAAAACAGAAGAAAATATTGGTTAAAGTTAAGGCACAGCCCTGGGACCAAAGACCTGCAGCTATGTTTTTTTAAACTTATATATCTTTATGTATTTTATAGTTTTCTTGAATCTTCCATAAACAAGCTCTAAGGTGACAAGACTATATTACAGGAGAAAAGAAAAATGTACAGAGTATGTATACACACCATTCATTCTCTCACCAAGAGTTTCCAAATATATCAACACCATCCCATCATAGGATGATGTTTTAATAAGAACTGATAATTTACAATTAACATTACAGTATGTACATTGCAATAAATACATGGTTGTAAACAGACAAACAAGACTGTATTACAGGTAAGGTCATTTGGTGAGAAAAAAAATGCATGGCACAAAAATAAATAATGCATTCAAAAATTATCATAAAGCTTTCTGTAAAATCCATTTCATTCAAGTTTTTTCTTTCCTTGTCTGTAATTTGTTCTATCTACATTATTTTCTTGTGAATTTTAGCTGATATAAAAGAAAACAAAATTAAAACAGCATTATTGTGTTCAGTAACTTGCAAGCTGAAATGCACTGGTTGTACGCAAACTTGGACATTTTTTTCCCCATACAGTACCCAGATATTGCATTTTCTTATGGCATTTTAGGAAATGTAAAGCCACTCATAAAAGGAGATTCTTTTTTAAAGCAGTGTGTATTTCTGAAGCACACTTTGGCGAGAGCGAAACACAAGGGTAAGCAGATTGTACAGTGCATTAGTCCCCGTCTCTTGGATATTTAGCCTTTTCTGCAAATTGATTGTCCATTAGTGGGTATCTTTATAACATGGTACCATTAAAAACCAACAAACTGGGAAGAAAAAAAAAAGCCTCTCTTTATTAGTGCAGTTATAAACCCTTTACCCTTTCAGGTCTGGATTTGTTAATGACATATTGCTGCTTTTTATCTTATTCATTATTAAGATTCTAGGCACTCTGTGGGGGAAATACTAAGGATAGGAAGGGAGAGGGAATGAGAATGTTTTAGAAAGAGGAATAAACTCTAGACTCTGCCTTTCTTTCTAGACCTCACTCAGGGACAAATAAAAGGGAAACAAGTTCCCAAGTGTTCTTGTGAAAGTACTTGGTCAAACATACGTCTTTATTTGAAAGATTACTGTCTGATCTTTATAGATGAAAGACAGTAGAAACCTTATAATTAGCTAGTTGATTCCTATTCTGCCCTATGTAAAAGATCAGAGTTATAAAGACATAATTTTTATTTCAAAGGATCTAAGCATCAGCTAGATCTCAGGGGACTGAAATGGGGATTCTCTTTAGCTTGAGTCATTTCCCTGTCTGATGACTTAGTTTCCAGTCCCCAGAAGACTTCTTGAGAAGTTCCAAATATAAACGATTTTCAGGGTGGTAATTCTTCTTAAATGTTTGATTTTCCATTTGGCAGATACCCACTTTGACCTCCGTCACAATTTTTCAGTATCAACATGAGACATGATGATTTGGGCTTTAAGGTCTTCAGAGAGAAGGTAAATACTTTATTAAGACTGACATGAGAGAGCCAGGCATGGTGGCTCACACCTGTAATCCCAGCACTTTGTGAGGCCAGGGCAGGCGGATCACCTGAGGTCAGGAGTTTAAGACCAGCCTGACTAACATGGTGAAACCCTGTCTCTACTAAAAATACAAAAATTAGCCAGGCACAGTGGTGGGCACCTGTAATCCCAGCTACTTGGGAGGCTGAGGCAGGAGAATCACTTGAACCCGGGAAGTGGAGGTTGCAGTGAGCTGATATCACACCATTGTACCCAGCCTGGGTGACAGGGCGAGACTCCGTCTCAAAGGAAAAAAAAAAAGACTGACCTGACATGGGAATAAAGTCGAAAATGTCCCATGATGCTAACTGCTATAATCCAGTAAACATTGGGAATTAATATCTAAAACTGTAATACAGTTCCTGGTGCTGGTATCAGCCAAGAGTGATCTCTAATTTTTTATTTAAGCAGAATTTTTACCAATCTAATATTTTAGGATGCATCATAGTACCAACCCTCTGGTGCCAGTGGCATCATCTTCTTTCCCTCCATGTGTTTAAAGAAGTAGTTCCCCTCTGCAAGATATGCTTATGGATCGAGAATAAGTGATAAAGCAATTCCTACATGTTATATGGCTGTCCATTAAGGAAGAGTACTTGCTACTCTTAAAACCATCTCTCAGGGATGTTCCTGATATAGTTCTTAATCCCGTGGTGAAATCATTAAAACCAAAGAGGAATCGTTGTATTGGTGTTTGTTAATATATTGTTAATATTCTTAAAAACTGCCTAGTTAGCAGTTGTTAACTTTTCTCTGTAAACCAAGAGTAAAAGCTAGTCATGATATACAACCTCATGGTTGAAATGAATGTTAACCCTAATTTGACTGTTTCTTTTCACCTGTCACAATGGTGGTGATATATTTGACAAGACTTCATCTAGCAACCATGGATGGAGGTTCAGACACACACTAAATTATAAAGCAGCACGAGGGGAAAAACCTTTCTCTTACTGTAGCTGGCTGTACAAACAATAAAAATGAGCATGAAATGTGCGGATTATTAGAAATACACGCACTTGTGAAATGCACGTCTGTGACACAGCAAAATGTTATTAGAAGACGCTAAGTAGGGAAACATCTAAAAAAGACTGACCATTTTAGCTACTGGGTATTTATATATCTCCCACTGGCTTCAGACACACCAACTGACGACTGAGTTTGCATGAAGCTTAAGACACATTTGATATAACACACATTAAAATATTATAGAACAAATAGTTACTTTGCACACTGTGAAGAAAAACATTGGTGAAGAGCAACTCTGCTTATCTGGAAAGAGTGAAACAAAATGTAAAGTAACTAAATACTTACAAAAAGGGCTTCCTGCAACATAAACTTGTTTTTCTGTTTTAAAATATGGAAGTCATTGATATATAAAACAATGAATCACTACAAATCAGTTAATTGCTATGAACTATAAGGTGCAAGTAAAATTTGTAAATTAGATTTTTATCCAGTGTAGCACAGATTTGTACTGAAAACTTGCAAGTTACTCCTTAGAAAAAAACCAGTGGCAGATGAAGTTCTGAACATAGTTTTTTAAATATAATACCTCAATACATTTAATAATAAAAGTAAGCTCTACAAAAAATCTGTTTTACATATCATACAAAATGTAGAGGTCAGTGCAGCTCACTGAACCACACTATTCAGTCACGTATCAGGAAGACTTGAAATTAGAAAATTATGCAATTTCTGTGGCTCATCCTCCTACTCTTTACAGATTCGTGCTGTGTCCTGTTCTTGACATATTTGTTGCTTTGTCCATTAAGTTCACTCTGTGCAATGCCTTTCTTCTGAAAATATTGCAAACAAAAAAAATAGAAACCCCAAATCCCATCAACTTTTGGGCCACCTGATGAGCCACGCTCTCTTGAAAACAATTTGGAGTAGATTTTATCTGCTTCGTCAGCTCTACTAAGCTGAAATCTTGTTAAAATGCTGTTCATGAAGATGTCCACCTTGCTCTGATGATATGGAGGTGAAAAAACTAATTACAATATTCCTGAGCGCCGGACTGAGTAGTCAAGGTCAGTTTTGTTCAACAAACGTCCTGGCAGATGACAGTGAGGTGTGACCGTGGTTGTGGCATGTGACATGCACTTTGGAAACAATTTTTCTACTAAAAAAAAGGCATGAAAGTTTTTGCACTGTTACGTGTCAGGAGAGTGATCATCTATGACACAAGCTTCGGGCTGGCTTTCCTCTTCTTCCCCTACTGCCTCTTCTTCAACCTGTTCATCGAGGGGAATTTCAGTAGACTCCGAGTCTTGAGTACAAAGAGTCTTGGAGTCACTGCAGCTAGTGTCTTCTTCCACTTGACTGCCACTGTCCTTTTCCGTGTCCGACTCGCCATCTTCCTCTAAAGTTAGTTCAAACTGGAATTTCTCAGTTTGACCCTGCCGGCCCTCCTCCGGGTCATCAGGTGCAGGAGAGGGGCTCTGAGGGATTGTGCTCTGGTACCATTCACGATTGTCCTCCAAAGTGTCCAAAATGTCCTGGGCGTCAGGGTGGACGAGGTCTGCCCACGTCTCCCAGAGGGGATGAACAATATAGTCTATGAAGCCCACCTAGTTAAGAAAAAAATCCAATATGAGGAGAGGACTTGGGACTAAGAAATAATGGAAAAGCTTAACTAGATCACGACCCACAAATAAAACACTGAACAGAAGATGACTAAGCTTAGTTTGGTAAAATTGTCATTATTTTCGACAACAGACCATATAAAATATTGTTACTAGCTGGTCAAAATTAGCTTCCAGAACCCTTGGTTAAAGAGCATGTGTGTAGCATAAAAAATGTTCCAGTTGTTGACATGGTAGGACTTATTTTAGAATCCCAATTTGTAGGTGAATCCAGATAACTGAAGTAATACTATGTGCTATATGTGTATGAATATATTAAATGAATATAGTCATGATAAATGTGTTCTTAGAATAGATATATGACTATATGAATGTAAGCCATAAGAATGAAAGTTTTTTGGATCATAAATACTAAGATGAAACTGAGTGTCAAAAACAAAGTAATTTTAAAAATCCGATAAAATACTATCATATGTGATACAAAGTAACCAAATGCTAAAGCGGTGGCTCCGTTCTCTCTGAAAGCTGTACATCTCATGTATTACCTGTGATTTTTCCACAGACGCATTGTGCTTATCACACATGGGGCTTATCTCCATGCCACGTTCCCTCTCTCGGTCTCCTTGGCGGAAGAACTCCTCCATTATCCGGTCCGTCCACTGGCGGTACAGTTGGAGAGGCTTTGTTGGGTTGCTCAAATCTGCACAATGCACCATATTCTGAAGAACCTAAAATAGATGGATGCATACGCTAGTCACTCCTCTTCCTTTTTTTAAAAACAAAACAAAACAAAACCAGAAATTCACATTGGATGACTGCAACACTTAAAAATATGCATAGTGTAAGATTTATTCCAGACACCTCAACCATGATGTGTCTGTGTATGGTTCACACTTGTATTAATAGTTCGAAATTATGCCACTTCTGCATCTAAATAGCATAAGAGAAACTGGTTGATTAGATTCAGAACTGCTTAAGTGGCTGGTTCTGTGGGGTGTTAGTTTTTTAATTAATATAGATGCAAATGAAAAGACCAGTAGAATTTTACCTGGTTAATTCTCAGCAATAAAAATTTGGATAAAAATGCTGCCTATAATTGTTACAAGGTGAAGAAATACACCTTCTCAAAGCTGAATACACAGACATATGTGCACATGCGGACAGACACACACAGAGCAAACTCAAATAAGGCTTTACCTGAATCCTATCAGAATAATTATCAAGAAGAAGAACTCCAGAGCTTGTCACTTTCTTAGTTTCAACCATAGTTTTCAAATCAGCCAGTAGATTCATGTGTTTTGACATGTCTGTTGCAAGTACCTTAAAATATAGAGTATATTATTGAGTAAAGTTCACAGAAAACAAAATTTACATATGAAAATATTATGCAGAATATGAGAAAGAAAAAGGAATAAAATAACACTATGCCTTTTAATGACGGTGGAAATCCCTTACTCTTTCTTAGGGCAGAGTCTTTTTCCCTTTGCTATCAAGTTTTCTCAAAGCCCAGATAAATGTGTGGTACTGACAACACTTTCATGGTGAAAAATGGGATAACATTTCCATGGATAAGGCATCATCACACGTTTTCAAGTTTTTCCATTCCTTGGACCAGAAAGTGGTTACTAGACTATGAATGACGAACTGATTCAAGGTTGCTTATAGACTGCTTCAGAAACAAAATATTCTGGTTATTTTCTGCTTTGAAAATACAGATAATTCTTGCCTTTGTATGTATAGGGTTTAACAGAGTAAGGTTTTGAAAGCTAGAGATTTTCCTGTGTCTCATAATCACTGAATAAGATGCATAGACAAAAGAGCAAAGTCATGGCTATTCTAAATGGCACTCTCTACTGATGAGAGCTTTGGCCCATGCAATCTGCTTTTGTTAGTCATCTTTCTCTGCCTGCCACTAAACTGGAGGGGCTCAGAAAACAAATGATGATGGTGAGCTAACATTATTTTCAACTCCAAACTGCTAGAAGTAAAAAACCTATTATAGAACATCACTGCCAGCATCGGGGGCAGCTTCTGTAGCATAAAGGGCAATAATATGTTGTGAAATGCAGTTCCTTTTACCTAAGCAACTTGCATCACAGTTCTCTTTTTTTGCTTTTATCAGCTACTTACAATGTCAATGACCATTTTCCTTAAAGATTGTCTTTGTTTTTTGGTCAAATTCTGGAAAATGTCACAGTTTTCTTCCTGAAGCAATTTAAAGCCCACAGCCAAATGATGGTTCTCTAAGACTGAGGAATCATTGTACATCAAGGCAAGTTCAGAGTCTGAAAAAAAGACAAGAGGCCAAAGATCAGCAAAGCTGTTTATGAGTTGATCTGATTCTTCAAATTCTAAAGTACTTTGGGTTTAGGATGTAATTTCCCCTAAACTTCTCTGCTCCCCTTATCATTACATGACAATATCCAGGAGAGAATAAATCGGATAACATTAAGAGCAGAAACAACAAGAATGAATCTTGGGGAGTGAATTCTAATGCTACTAACATGTGGCAGGTCATTGCACTCTGTGGGTCTCAGCTTCCACTGAAGTGAATGAACTGGACCTTTAACTTCTCCTCTAGAGGAGCTGCCATGAGCTCGGCATAGTATGACATTATTCTTAGTATCTGTAACACATCCAGAGCATAAGGTTTTGTATTCCTGATAACTGGAAATTACCTACCCTGCAATTTATATAATACAAGGATCATGTGATACAGGATTGTTTGTACTCAAAGAGGGTACAAGAACAATACGGAATCATATGAACAAGTTTAGATTTGCTCATTTGCTCATGTATAGCTCTGAAAGTCTAAGCTTTATTCGTTGTTTTCCATTTTCTTTTCCAAGCATAGTGGCAGTCATTGTATACTGTATAGGGATATTGCTCTTCCTGCCTGCTTGCTCACAGCTTCACACAGAGACGTTGTGTTTGGCTGTCTACATACCCTCTGGTGGTGATTCTGCCAGTCTCTCACTACTGCCCTGGACCTGTGAATTTCAGGCAGGGAGAGATTCTGCCTCTCTCCGATTTCTTGTAAATAGCAGACCTAGATCTATAAGATAATCATTAAAAAACTGGGTTGGTGCTTTATTCTCTTTGTACTTAATCACTGTAAAGACTAAAAGCAAATCTGAGGCAGGAGGATTGCTTAAGTCCAGGAGTGCAAGACCAGCCTGGGCAACATAAAGAAAACTCATCTCAACAAATAATAAAAAATTATCTGGGCATTGTGGTGTGTGCCTGTAGTCCCAGCTACGTGGGACACTGAGGTAGGAGGATTGCTTGAGCCCAGGAGTTCAAGGCTGCATTATATTGTGCCACTATACTCCAAGCTGAGCAACAGAGCAAGACTCTGTTTCCAAAAAAAGAAAAAAAAAGGCTAAAAACACGTGTTTGATCTTTTTTTCTGACAAATACATAGAAAATATATTTGGAAATATATATCCTTTTCTAAGAAAGAAATATCCAATACTATTCACTGGCTATTTTAGTGGAGCTAGGAAGGAGAGGAGAGGCTTAAGACATTTTTCAAACTGCAAAATTCTATTATTTTATTGGAACTACAGAAATAGAAATTTGCATACTTAAATTTCTACAGGAACAGAGCTGTTTAGTAGGGAGTAGGTTTGTACAGTTTTTTGTGTTTTTTCTTTTTTCTTTATTTTATTGCATTTTACATTTTGGGGTACATTTGAAGAACATGCAAGATAGTTTCATAGGTACACACATGGCAGTGTGATTTGCTGCCTTCCTCCCCTTCACCTATGACTGGCATTTCTCCCCATGCTATCTCTCCCCAACTCCCCACCCCCCACCGTCCCTCCCCTATTTCCCCCCAACAGACCCCAGTGTGTAGTGCTCCCCTCCCTGTGTCCATGTGTTCTCATTGTTCAACACCCGCCTATGAGTGAGAACATGCAGTGTGATTTTCTGCTCTTGTGTCAGTTTGCTGAGAATGATGGTTTCCAGGTTCATCCATGTCCCTACAAAGGACACATGTTTTTGCTTTCTTTAGATAAAATCGTGTTTTCAAAAATTGTACTTTAAGTTCTGGGGTACACATGCAGAACATAAGTGTTTGTTACATAGGTATACCCATGCCATGGTGGTTGGCTGCATCCAACACCTGATCAACATTAGCTATTTCTCCTAATGCTATCCCTCCCGTAGTCCCCTACCCCATGACAGGCCCTGGTGTGTGATGTTCAACTCCCACTTATGAGTAAGAACATGCGGTGTTTGGTTTTCTGTTCTTGTGTTAGTTTGCTGAGAATGATGGTTTCAGCGTCATCCATGTCCCTGCAAAGGAAATGAAACTCATCCTCTTTATGGCTGCACAGTATTCCATGGTGTATATGTGCCACATTTTCTTTATCCAGTCTATCATTGATGGGCATTTGGGTTGGTTCCAAGTCTTTGTTATCATGAACAGTACTGCGATAAATATATGTGTGCATGTGTCTTTATAGTAGAATGATTTATAATCCTTTGGGTATATACTCAGTAATAAGATTGCTGGGTCAAATGGTATTTCCAGTTCTAGATCCTTGAGCAATTGCCACACTGTCTTCCACAATGGTTGAACTAATTTACATTCCCACCAACAGTGTAAAAGTGTTCCTATTTCTCTAATCCTCTCCAGCATCTGTTGCTTCATGACATTTTAATGATTGCCATTCTAACTGGTGTGAGATGGTATCTCAATGTGGTTTTGATTTGCATTTCTCTAATGACAAGTGATGATGAGCTTTATTTTTCATATTTGTTGGCTGTATGTCTCCTTTTGAGAAGTGTCTGCTCATATCCTTCACCCACTTTTTGATAGAGTTGGTTTTTTTTTCCCTGCAAATTTGTTTAAGTTCTTTGTAGATTCTAGATATTAGCTCTTTGTCAGTTGAGTAGATTGCAAAATTTTTCTCCCATTCTGTAGGCTGCCTGTTCACTCTGGTGATAGTTTCTTTTGCTGTGCAGAAGCTCTTTAGTTTAATTAGATCCCACTTGTCTGTTTTGGCTTTTGTTGCCATTGCTTTTGGTGTTTTAGTCATGAAGTCTTTGCCTATGTCCTGAATGAATGGAATTGCCTAGGTTTTCTTCTAGGGTGGTTTATTTTTTAAAAGGTAGTATCTGGTTAACTTTTAAAGTGTCTATAAACGCCTTTATGAATCTTTATCAAGAAAGGGGGAAGCATAGAGAAATGAAAAATTTTAAACTATATAGGATCTTAGCAAATGTTGTAATTCTACAGTGGAATTAAACATATATTGAAAGGAAGGCATAATGTTTTCTAAATGGGTAATTAACTCTTAGAGTTATTTTAAGGGAGGAAATATGCATGTACACAAGCGGTGTTAACAGAATTGACGTAGCCTTATAGAAACCCTTATTGGCTTATATGAAGTTGAAGGTAATGGAAATTAATGCTATTGACCCTGCAGAAGAATAAGACGATGAGCTGTTACTTCAAGTAAAAGGGTGATCTGTCGTATGGAAGTTGCCATGAAGAGTCTGAGTTCTACTGGTTATAAGTATGGCCTTTCATGTAGGGCAGATATTCAAAAATACTGGCTAGACCTGTCTTGGAAAGTGGTTATCTCCTGACACTTAAGAAGAGTCCACGTTGGCCAGAAAAGCCAGGAAAGGATTCCCTAGTGAATTGGCATGCCTCCACAGCCTCTTCAGTCTCAGATGCTATTACGGGAAGGTGATGGTGACTGTTGATTTTTAAATGAACAAATGTTAGCATTTAAGAAACTGAATCTCAAGGAAGTTATTTAACTTTCTACTCTGCTTTAAGACTGAAGGCATATGGTCACATCTAAATGGGGAGGTCGGATTCTGCAGCTCGTCAGCACATTTTCACCAAAGACACTAATCCATTACTTGTAAGTAGAGTCCTTGAAGGTTCAGGAATGATCAGAAAGTTGCTGTCTTACTTCGTTACAATGCACAGCACAGAAGGGCAAAGAGGTTCGCTTATGTAACATTTTTGTTGAAACCCTCTCATCTTCAAGCCTAATACAGGCTACCTTTTCCATGACATCTTTCTTGATTACCAGACACAACTGCCCACTTTCTCCTGTAAACTCCCATATTACTTTGTACCACCCATTTGGCATGTATCACATTCTTCTACCTTTTTTGTCTTTATCTCTACAGATCTTTTAATAGTTCCTCCCCACACCCTTCTAGCCTACTTAGAGACTTAAGCCCCTACAAAATACTAAAGGTTATTAATTTAATATGTTTGGTTATCTGGCTTCCCCAGATAGGCACTTCAATTATTTCAAACTTACAAACACTAATACAGTAAGGCATAACATTTAGAGGATTTAGGTGCCATTGTGTTAAGTGGTTTATGTGAATCGTCTCATTTAATCCTCATAACTCTTTTAGGAAGATACTATTGTTACTGACATTTTATGGCTCTGTTCCAATCGTGGATGGCATGGAGCCATATAGGTGGGAAATAAAGTCTTTGTGTCCTTGCCATAGGCTGGGGGATAGAAAATGTGTCTTGGGGACATCTTTTATATACATAAATATTTACATAGATGATGTACTCATATAATCCTGTATAAATGAAGAAAATGAACCTCAGAGAAGGTAGGTAACTTTGCCAACATCACATAGCCAGTAAGTGCGTGCTGGGGCCATTACTTAAAATCAGGCAGTTTCTAGAGCACTTACCTTATACTGACTATGATTATAACTGCCTTATAAATAGAGGTGAAAACTTGAGCAGTGAACACTAAACATGAACCAGGAAATCAATACAATCCACTCAGTGCCTGGCATACACTAATAACTTTATAAGCATTTATTATTTTTTATTGAGAGGCCATGCATACCTTTACAAACTCAAAGCCATCATTTTATTATATAGCGATCAATTGTGCTCATTTGTTACAACTACCCTGGATCATCAAGAATAAATTAGATTAGGGCCGGGCGCGGTGGCTCACGCCTGTAATCCCAGCACTTTGGGAGGCCGAGGCAGGTGGATCACGAGGTCAAGAGATCGAGACCATCCTGGTCAACATGGTGAAACCCCGTCTCTACTAAAAATACAAAAAATTAGCTGGGCATGGTGGCGCGTGCCTGTAATCCCAGCTACTCAGGAGGCTGAGGCAGGAGAATTGCCTGAACCCAGGAGGCGGAGGTTGCGGTGAGCCGAGATCGCGCCATTGCACTCCAGCCTGGGTAACAAGAGCGAAACTCCGTCTCAAAAAAAAAAAGAATAAATTAGATTATACTCAACATATGCTACTACTGAAGGCAGGAA